CACTACTGTAACTGTGGCCTGGATTGGAGCAGAACGACTCCAAGGTCCGGTATTAGAAGATACGAGTTGGCGCTGGTCCCTTCACTGCTTCCAGACATGCCTGCCCTAGGGGGAAGGAGGGAGCAGCCCAGCCATGAAGTGTAAATACCCAGGATTGCCCCATCTTGCTACTCCTGCCGGAGGGGGTTAAGGAAAACCGCCTGTTTTGGTTTCTTGTTGCTGAAAAGGAAGCAAGATCTACCCACGTGTCCCCTGTCTGTTTGGAACTGTGAAATTGCCACTTTTCATAGCTGTACATCGTAGAGCTCTGAAAAACAAAGTGATGGGAGGGGGTGAGAGCTGCTGCTGCTCCCTAAGGAAATGGGCTGAGAAAACCATCAGGGAACCAAAACCACTAAAGAAATACAGTTAGCTTTCACCCCAAGCTGTAAGAGGCCCTTATTTCCCCCTCAGCCTGCTGTCCTGTAGAGATTAGCTCTCGGCTCACTGGGCTTGACTGGCAGCCGGAAAAGCCGGTCCCGCATTGAACACAACAGGAGGCCAGCTGAGTCAGCCTTTGTACCTGTCAGGAAATCATTCATAAAACTGACACACGGGCCAGGACACAGCAGCACTCCACTCGCCAACCCCCCAGCAAGGCTGCTGCCGCGAGAAATGTGGAAAGTGCTGCCTGTTTCTCAAAACTCTGTTTGCCTCCCTGGTTCTGTGTTGGCCTCCAGCATGCCTTCCCCCTGCTATGCGGACACCACGGAAGAAGCTCTCAGGAACAAGTGCGGGACCAGAGGCAGTGCATCCAAAGCCCGCTTCCCCGTCATGCTTGGACCAAGACCTGCGAGGGGCTGTGGAGATGAAGGGGACGAGACGTGCTGTGCAGCAACGACAGTTGTCTCATTAGATTTCGTGTGGTGTTCACTGGAGGCAGGGTCTCCTCCCAGCCTTGAAAAATCCAATGTGGAGCGCTCCAGCTCCATTTTAATCTACCTCACTTGATGTTCCTTCGTGCCACAGAAACACTTTGAGTCCCAGCATCCCCGGCTCCTTTCAGGCCAACTACCAGAGTTTATTTCCAAAGAGGCACTACCGGGTCAGTCATGTGCAAGAAGCAGGCACGATGAAAGGGGGTATTACAGAGCTAGCCAGACCTTTGGTAGCACATGAAGGTCATTTCACATTCAAGGCATTGTGGATGCTGTAGCACCGCTCGAATGCTGCCTATCAGACACACCCTCCGGGATTGTCAAGCTGCACAGCAGGGAGCCCTTGGCTGGAAGATGAGACCTTGGTGCTCTCCAGGCCAGGAAAACTTAATGGGAGAGCAAGTTAAATTGTTCTGAATCTGCAGCTGATCCTGGCACCTCTCAGGGCATTATCATCTCCCACACCTCCCCACAACTCCCATGTAAGAGTGACATCCTAGGGACAGGGCTGGGAGAAACAATAGGAACAAAAAGCAGAAGATGTAAGGCAGAAAAAGCCCCTCTTCTTGATACAACGACCCTCTGGCTTTTCTATATGAGACAGGGTGGAGTAAAAAAAAAATGGAAAAGGCATATGTAATTGGACTGATTTTATTTCAAAGGGTTTCATTTCCAGTTTTCAGTCATCATGTGACAAAGCAGGAAGACCTTATGAACGGAGTCACATGTCTATTGTGATGGAGAACACACAAATATTATCCAGGAGTCAACCTGGGACATTTCAAGTATGATTCCCCCATCTTACTCTCTCCAAACACAAGATGGGGTTCTCATGTGTCACTCGGCCCTAGTTACAAAAGGTGTAACAGACTTTTTCAAAAGCGGCGAGGAGTCCTGTGGTACCTTATAGACTAACCGAAGTGTTGGAGCAGAAGCTTTCGTGGGCAAAGACCCACTTCATCAGATGCATGTAGTGGAAATTTCCAGAGGCAGGTATAAATATGCAGGCCAGAATCAGGCTAGAGATGACGAGGTGGATCCAATCAGGGAGCATGAGGCCCACTTCTAGTAGCTGATCTGGAGGTGTGAATGCCAAGAGAGGAGAAGCTGCTTTTTTAGTTAGCAAGCCATTCACAGTCTTTGTTTAATCCTGAGCTGATTGCGTCAAATTTTAAATTAATGGAGATTACTTATCTCCTAGAACTGGAAGGGACTTTGAGTCACTGAGTTGAGTCCAGTCCCCTGCCTTCACAGCAGGACCAAGTACCATCCCTGACAATTTTTTGCCCCAAATGGCCTCCACAAGGACTGAACTCACAACCCTGGGTTTAGCAGGCCAATGCTCAAACCACTGAGCTATCCCTCCCCCCAAACTTGAAGATGAACTATAGCTCAGCAGTTTCTCTTTGAAGTCTGGTCGTTGAAGTTTTTTTGCTGCAGGATGGCTTCCCTTTAGATTTGCAATTGTGTGTCCAGGGAGATTGAAGATTCACACCTCCAGATCAGCTACTAGAAGTGGGCCTCATGCTCCCTGATTGGATCCACCTCATCATCTCTAGCCTGATTCTGGCCTGCATATTTATACCTGCCTCTGGAAATTTCCACTACATGCATCTGACGAACTGGGACTTTGCCCACGAAAGCTTCTGCTCCAACACTTCGGTTAGTCTATAAGGTGCCACAGGACTCCTCGCCACTTTTGCAGATTCAGACTAACACAGTTACCCCTCTGATACACAGACTTTTTTGTATCAGATTAAAATGAGCATGTACTATTGGCACTCAGACGGCGATCAGTTCAGGGTTTTATAATTTTACTGTGTGGCTGTGTCTACACTGGGCCACTTATTCCGGAAAAGCAGGTGCTTTTCCGGAATAACTTGCCAGCTGTCTACACTGGCCACTTGCTTTTCCGGAAAAGCAATGATGATCTACTGTAAAATTGTCAGTTTTTTTCCGGAAAAACTATGCTGCGCCCGTTCGAGCAAAAGTCCTTTTTTGGAAAAACTGTTCCGGAAAAGGGCCAGTGTAGACAGCACAGTAGTCTCTTCCGCAAAAAAGCCCCCATTGCGAAAATGACGATCGGGGCTTTTTTCCGAAAAGCGCATCTACATTGGCCACGGGCGCTTTTCCGGAAAAAGTGCTTTTCCGGAAAAGCATCCTGCCAATGTAGATGCGCTTTTTCCGGAAATACTTATAACGGAAAACTGTTCCGTTTTAAGCATTTCCGGAAAAGGGTGCCAGTGTAGACGTAGCCTGTGTGTTTATGGGGTGGGAAGAGAAGTGACTTCAGAAAGGAAGGTTTCATGTTTGGTCATTCACTGAATCTGGCCAGGAAGGAGATTCTTCTTGTTTGGCCCCAAATTATTTTAGATATTGGCTGCATGCTAGCTAAAGTCCCCACACATCACAGTGTATTGGTTCTTCCTATCACATGTGTTGTGGCTGGAGCTGTACACGAAGACCTCACTTCTTCAGGAATGCTTAGTGCTGGAAAGAGAAATCTTTGCAACAGCTGTGCTTAAAGTGTACTCAGGGTCAGAAAAGGTGCTAAATGACAACCCTGAAGAAGGAAATCTAGTTACCCCCAAAATAGGCCTAAGTGAAGGTAGTGGTAGGTAGTACCACCCTCTGCTTGGCCATAGAGGTGACTCAGTATTTCCAAATGAAGCATTCCCCCTTCCATTAAACTAACAAGACTGACAAAGACAATGGTAGTTCTTTAACCATAGACACCTCTTTACTAGGAAGCAGGAAACTTCTAGATTTCTTAGGAGCTCATCATTAGAATTGTATGTTTGTTCAGAAAAGGGGAGTTGTCTAATTAGCAGAGTGATTTTTATTTTAAAAGAAGATAAGTGTTCTCTGATCTGTACCATTTAATAATCATTTCCATAACAAGGAGCAAGTACATTATCAATCCGGTTCTAAACTATTTAGATGATGGCATAGAGAGTATGCTTATTAAGTTTGGTACGGGGTCAAAATTCAAAATGATCTGGACAATCTGGAGAAAGGGTCTGAGCAAAATAAGATGAAGTTCAATAAAGACAAATGCAAAGTGCTCCACTTAGGAAGGAACAATGGGAAGTGACTGTCTAGGAAGGATACTGCAGAAAAGGATCTAGGGGTCATAGTGGACCACAAGCTAAATATGAGTCAACAGCGCGACACTGTTGCAAAAAAACCAAACATGATTCTGTGCTGCTTTTAACAGGAGTGTTGTGAGCAAGACACGAGAAGTCATTCTTCCAGTCTGCTCTGCATTGATTAGGCCTCAAATGGAGTATTGTGTCCAGTTCTGGGCACCTCATTTCAAGAAAGATGTGGAGAAATTGGAGAAGGTCCAGAAAAGAGCAACAAAAATGATTAAAGGTCTAAAAAACATGAGCTACGAGGGAAGGCTAAAGGAACTGGGTTTGTTTTGTTTGGAAAAGAGAACACTGAGAGGGGACATGATTGCCGTTTTCAGATATCTAAAAGGATATCACAGGGAGGAGGGTGGAAAATTGTTCTCCTTGGCCTCTGATGATAGGACAAGAAGCAAATTGCAACAAGGGAAGTTTAGGCTGGACATTAGGAAAAACTTCCTACCTGTCAGGGTGCTTAAACACAGGAATAAATTGCCTAGGGGTCACTGAAGATATTTAAGAGCAGGTAAGACAGACATCTATCAGGGATGGTCTAGACAGTGCTTAGTCCTGCTGTGAGGGCAGGGGACTGGACTCGATGACCTCTTGAGGTTCCTTCCAGTTCTATGATTCTATAAACACAAGCACGAGTTTTGATGTGAAGCACGTAACTAATTCATCTAGTTAGGATTTTTTTAAGCTCTTCACTCACAAGTTTGTTCTAGTCTTTTTATCCAAGCCCAAAACAAAAGGGAGCAGGACATGAACATGGATTCCTAGCCTGCATACCACTATAAATATGTATCTATATAGCTCTGACAATAGTTTCTGATTATTAGGGTTACTATAGAAAAGCAATACAAGTGCTCTCGTGGTTGTTGCTACTAAACATTGTGAACGTTTTAGACTTTGAAGGACCAAAATAGAACAAGTGTAAAGACTGGTTCCGTTCTGGGATCAGAACTACGTGACAATGTTGTTTATTAACTTGTGCAATCTTCATCTAATATGTTACAGATGATCAGAGTTCAGATTAGACACGTGCTGGCCCACAAGAAGAAATTGTCCCACTGTGGGATAAATGCAGTCCCGTGGGGTTTCAGCTGAAATATTCCAGACTGGTTTTGATTCGTTCCATCTCATGCAGAAAACTGTAGAACTGCGGCAATGTTAACTCTGAGAAAAATGAGGGAAAAATCCCCTTTTTAACACAAAGCTCTTCATATCCATATCAAGAAGCAATTTTCATCCACACCTGGGCAGGACTGTATTAGGGATTCTAAATCTTAACATGCTTTTCTATGCAATATCTGTTCAGTGTAGAGCAGTGATGGGCAATAGTTTTTAAAAGGGGGCCACTTCAAAAATTTCTGAAGTGGCCCCAGGCTGCCCCGGAAGGGGCGGGACCAGTTTTTGTGCTCTTCTCCCCCTCCCCTCCACAGATTGGCCTGGGGTGGGGGAGCACTTGGAAGTCTTCCTCGTCCCTCCCCCGCCCCCTAGAGAGAATTGCCAGCTGTTTTAAAACAGCTGGAGGTTCCCTCTAGGCTCCCAGTGGAAGGAGACCCTGGGTCTGGGGGTAGGGGAGCGCATGAATTCTCACCACTGCAATAGCGCACAGCAGCTAAGGAGACATGCTGGCTGTTTTAAGCCAGCACTTCTCTCTAGGTACTGTGTGTCCCTGGCAGGGCGGGGATAGGACACGAGAAACTTTGCATGCTTCCTGTCCCCAGGCCCTGATTGGCGTGGGGGCAGGAAGCACGCAAAGCTCCCCCTCCCTGACAGGTGCAGAAGCTAGAGATAACTGCTGGCTGTTCTCTCTAGCCGCCGTGTGCTCTTTTGGTGGCTGGGGGCGTGGAGACTTCATGCACTCCCCTGACCCCACATCCTGATTGGCCTGGGGGGTGGAGGAGTGGCAGGGCGGCTGTGGGCTGGATCTACTAGCTTGGTGGATCTGGTTCATGGAGGGCCCTTTCCCACCACTGGTGTAGAGGGATTCCAGGCAAAGATTTTCATGACAGATATTGGGTTTGCTCTCTTCCTGTAGTATGCTGTTCTCTCTCTAATGGTGACTGCTTCTAAAGGGGTCAGCTTGATAGTATTCAGTTTGATATGCATAGATCAGATGACCCTCCACAGGGTCTAAAGGATTTCCTACCAACGGGGATGGGCCGAGGCTGCAATAGTTGTGCGCATCTAGTCAGTACCACTGCAGAGCTGGGTCTGCTTCCAAAGTTCATTGAGACCCAATGAATACATATGACTTTTCTAGAAATACTTAGCTTCCCAAATGCATTTCAAAGGCCTCATGAAAAACATTTGCACTCCCTTCATGAAGTGTTGCTTCTCTAGAGCTCCCCTCTAAAGTTAGTTAACTCACCTACATACACATGCTCCACTTGGCCTCCTTTTTTAACCATCAATTTCAGCTGGGAAGAAACCAGAGACATTGAATAGAAACATCCTCGCATCACATTTCACTTTTAGACAGCCCAGGCTACTGGGAAGCAACCACTTCTTCAACTGGTCTTCCAGGAAAAGCTACTACAGGAGTAGCTCCTCCACAGAGATGATCTTATCTTTAATGCAAGTAAATCAACCCAACCTCTCCCACACACTATCAAGACCTATCCTAGACTGCAAGTGCCTGTATTACCGATCACACCCACAGCTGGCCACAAGTCTCCGGAGAGAATTGAAGCAGTCAGAAAAAGCAGCAGCAGGGCCCCATTTTAGCTCATGTCTTCAAGAACTCAGAAGCAGAGCCAACTCCCAATGCCACACTATTGGGTGCCCTCAGCTGCCACAGGAGTCGGCACCAGCAGGTTCATCCCTTTACCTTGTCCTTTACCAAGTGATGAGCTACAATAAGTTCCATACCTCTCATTTTGGGAGACCTACCTGTAAGAAGATACTTCCCACTTTCTCCAGTTCACTGCTCCCCGCAGTCACTGAGAGATGGAGAAAGAGATGGCAGATAAGTTGCCTGAGGGCTAAAGTAGCTTAGTCAAGTGAAATTATTTCAAGAACATCTACTGCTAAGAACTACTGGATTTTAGCTTTGTCATTATAGGGATACTGCAGCCTACTCATGTCACACACACATTACCTCCAAATTTCCACTCCATATCTATAAGCTGGTTAATCATCAGCGTCTGTCCAACAGCCAGGCGTGTCAGAGTGGGAGAATTCAGCTTCCACTGTGAGGGGGAAAAAAATGAACACCTAACCAGCTGATGCAAAAATACTTCTTAGCATATTACCTGTAGCTCCAGCATCAAAGAGAGACTGGGCAGACCCCCAGCAAAAGCATAGAGCAGATATACATGCAGCATCAATCAAAAATGGAAATGCTGATGAATGAAATAGACCAGATATAATTTAAAAAACCCTTTGAGGCATTTTTGAAAATGTTGCCATGGGTCCAATTTAACATGTTAAAATCCTGGTGTTTGTTTATCTGCAGAACACTAAGGTTCAGTGCGAGCAAAGGCAGAAACAGAACCAAAGCCACACTTAATTGCCACAGTCAATAAAACTGCCTAAGGTGGTTATATGCTACATTGCATATGCCATGCCAAATCAGAAGTCTCGCATAAACAAAATGTTTCATACCAGTTGTCATGGCATCTTCAGCTTATGATTTTGAACTAGATATGAAATAAGAACCTGACTTCTTGACACTTTTGAATACGTGGCCAACGAGATCATTAAACCACTCCCTCCCAATTGAGATTTATTTTTAAGTTAAGAAGTAAAGGAATTCTATTAATACCTGCTCTGCAAAATAACTGGCTTTCTCTTCACTGAGTCCTGTAGGAGAAACCACAAATGATTAACAAACTAAGAACCAATTAATATTTAATATATTTAGTAAAATCAAACAACCTACCCAAAGCGATGAAATCAGCTCTGACTTGTTCAGATGTCAGATTCTTCTTCAGGGCCCCTAGAATAAACAGTGCAAAGGAGGAGATCACTTCTCTGAAATGTAATATTACAGTGTGTTACGCTCAACACACACAGGGGAAGAAATGTTTTAATAGGATTCTTTTGTTCCCCAAATTGTGCTGTACAGCAACATAGTAGGAAATACTGTTGTCTCCTACTGTATCTTTGTAGAACCCAATGCCAGTCAGTCGGATAGAGGAGGCTACATTGTTGGTCTCCATGGTAATGGCAGCAGCAGCTTCATTTCGAAGTTACTGCTTTTTCCCCTATAGAAGCTTTTGCTTGTTAAAGGCTGGCAAGCTACTAATTTGACCTACCTGCTGTGTTTTGGATGGCGGGTGGGAACATGTGCCTATAACATTTTTTCCTGCTGTGCCTGCCTGCTTTATTCTTGGGGAGCATGCTGCACATTGAAGTTTACAAGGGCCATGTTCTCTGAAGCCAAGAGAAGGAGTCTGGTAAATTTTGACAGACTCCCTGCCCCACACTGCTTTGTATCCATATTGTACATAAACACTCAGTGAAGTTATCAGAGCAGATGGCAGGTATCGCTCATGGTATCTCAGCTCTGACAAAAATGATACAAGGATCTGAGGCTAAGACACATAAATAGCAACCAAGGGAGCTTCATGAATATTGTCTAGAACTGAAAAGCTTTAGGAAGGAGAAATTAGGGTTTCTGACTGTCAAAATCTTCAAGGTAGCTGTATAAAAGGAGGAAGGAAATTTTTTCACTGCTTCTTCTGATAGCAGGACAAGGAAAAATGGCCTGAAGTTACAAAAAAAGAAAATGTAGGGCAAGCAAAATGTAAGAAGAAAATTTGCACTTAATGTGATGGGAACTACAGAAAAATCTAAGCCTGACAGATTATAAGAATAATGCGGGGGCGGGGAACTTTTTTTGGGGTTGGGGGCCGTTAACCCAAAGAGAAAGCAGTCAGGGGCCACACACAAGTGAGAAGCAAAAAGAAACATCCTAAACCCTCAATGACATGGCCCCCGACTGAGAAGGAGAAAAACTTGCCCAACATTCCCCTCATAGCAGAGTCTAAGGGTGCCCAGGCGAGTAGGTTTCGTGTGCTCCCCTTCGTAGGGGTGCCAGGAGGCTGGAATGCCAGTGCGGGCTCCCCAATGCTGGAAGCCCTGAACCTTGGGAGCTGGATTCAGGCAAGCCGGGGGCCACATCCGGCCCCCAGGCCTTACGTTTCCCACTCCTGGAATAATGGATCAACAGTATAAAGATCCCAGGGAGGAGGCTGAAGGACAGCCACGACAAATTGCTGAGAGTAAGCTGGCTATGATGGTAGCAGGATTGCTGTAGGGAGTAATTCTGTAAAATAAAGTGGTCAGACTCAATGACTTGGTTGGTCTTTTCTGGCTCCACTACATATGATTAACATGCACCTGTTTTGGCGAGCTGCCCAATAGCTAAGTGTTTCTCTAAAAGGAGGCTGCAAGGATAGAAGTCACCTTAAGGCACTTTAGAATCGCTCAGTCCTCTCTGTTTGATGGAGCTCATCCGCCTGCTGGGAAGTACAAAGTAGCACCGCAGGGATGGCAGCGGCTAGTGGAATATGTATACAGACATGACTTGAGAGAGACAATAGCCCAGGCCTGGACAAAATATGGCCCAAGGGCCAGATCTGGCCCTCCAAGCCTCTGGATCCAGCCCATGCATGCTGCAGGGAGCCCAGGCAGACTCCCTGCTTGCCTCACCCCACAGCTGTGGGGCACTTTTTCTTTAAAAACTGAGAGTCCAGAGGGAAGGGGGGGGAAACGCTAGCAGCTGCTCCTGCCCCCAGAACAATCCTATTGGCCAGTTTCTGGCCAGAAACTGGCCAATGGGAGCTGCCTGTTTTAATAACAGGCAACCACAAAGCACAAGGGACTCCAGATGTGAAGCTGTGCTGCCATGCAGCTTAGAGGGAACACTAACAGGCAGGGAGGCTGATTCAGGAACAGCTGCTGGCTGGTAAGTCTCCTGGCAGAGCCTACTTCTGGCACCCCAGCCCCACCCTTCCCCAACCCTCAGCCCCTCCACTCCACATACCCAAATCCTCTGTCCCTCTCCTGTATCCATATCCCCTCCCAAATCCAGCACCCCAGTCCCCTGCCCCAGATCACAGTCCCCTCCTGCCCTAGCTCACAACCCAAACCCCTGCACCCTCTCCTGTACCCCAATTCACTTCCTTAGGTCACAATCCAACCCCCGGCACCCCAGTCCAGTGCCCCAAGTCACAACTACCTCTTTCACTCAAACTCGCTCTGTTATCCCAAGCTCCCTTCTGCACCCAACCTTCATCTCTGACCCCGAACCACCTCCATTAATATTAAGGAAGGGTGCGGCCCTCGACCACTTTCCAAATTCTTGGAATGGCCCCCCCATCAAATATTATTGCCCTCCCTCCCCGCAATAGCCCAAAGAACTGAACAGGGATACTTCAACAGAGAGAGGGATTTTTTAAATGTTTGAAAATTCCATTTTTAATTCTTAATTACAGCTTACTTAGCAATCAAAAGCTCTGTCCTACAAACTGATTGGCATGGTGAAATCAATGGTGCGTGCAGCCACAAACACAGCAGTTTAGTTGTCCTTTCAGGCATAGGGGAGTAAAAACATTCTCTGTCTCTCTTGCACACATCCCATTTCCAGGTTACTCACCATTAGGTATCACGAGGATACTTTTGACAATATTTTTCAGAGGACCCAGGCTGATTTCATTCATGGTGGCAAATTCAGAGAGCTGAGTCAGAAACCTTTCTACCTGCAGACAGTGAAGAACAGAAACAAAGCCTTACCTCTGTGCACTTCTCATCTGACCGTTGCAGTCAACCCTCTCTCCATATTGTGCTGCTGAGGCCTTACCTCCTTGGGCTCCGTTAAAAAGCGGAAGACTACATCGGTCAGTGCTGAGAATTGCTGTGAAAAAATAAGATAGTGTCACTAAGCCAGGGACTGGAAGGCTACATTTCTCACTTGCCTCTTCCAAGTTCTCTCCAGAGCCCTTAAGAGAGAGACATCCTCTGTTGTGTTAACATCCTTCTCTAATTAAGTGCCCTTCTACAGGCCTGATTTAATTTCACCACTATACAGTTTACCTCACATCACTTCACTTCCTTGGCCACCTCCCTCCAATGACAAGGCGGAAAAGACACTTCACTCTCTGATGTTTTAGAATACTCAGTCTTCAAGAATGTTTGCACAGCTAGTAACTGTCATTGCAAAGTACTTTGCATGGTGCTGAGCGGAGATTAGGGAGCTGGAGCACATGGTTTATGAGGAGAGGCTGAGGGATTTGGGCTTGTTTAGTCTGCAGAAGAATGAGGGGGGGGGATCTGATAGCAGCCTTCAACTACCTGAAGGGGGATTCCAAAGAGGATGAAGAGAGGCTGTTCTCAGTAGCAGCAGATTATATATATATATCTATCTCAAGATATACCTATCTCATAGAGCTGGAAGGGACCTTGAGAGGTCATCGAGTCCAGTTCCCTACCTTTATGGCAGGACCAAGTACCATCCCTGATAGATTTGCCCCAGATCCCTAAATGGCCCCCTCAAGGATTGAGCTCACAAAGCTGAGTTTAGCAGGCCAATGCTCAAACCACCGAGCTATTCCTCCCCCAATGATAGAACTAGGAGCAATGGTCTCAAGTTGCAATGGGGGAGGTCTAGGTTGGATATTAGGAAAAACTATTTCACTAGGAGGGTGGTGAAGCACTGGGATGGGTTCCTAGGGAGGGGATGGAATCTCCATTCCTAAATGATTCAAGTCCCAGCTTGACAAAGCCCTGGCTGGGATGATTGAGTTGGGGTTGGTCCTGCTTTGGGCGGTGGGGTGGACTCGATGACTCCCAAGGCCTCTTCCAACCCTAATCATGTCATAAGCTACCCACCCCGTTTAGCAAACAGAAACACAATGAGAGAAGGGACAGGCACCTATGCTAGTGTTTCCCCGACCTTACAGAGTATAGACTGCTGCTGCAGTAGCTAACATTCATAACCTCTCCATTATGTAAGCATGCTGTGAGCCAGAGGTGGGCAAGAGAGCATCTGTGGGCCGCAAGCCAACTGATCTGGACCACAGCCACCCTGCCACTCCCCTGCCCCCAGGCCCATCGAGACCTGGGGATGGGGGAGCAAGCACAGTCTCCTCCGCCCGCCGGGGTGCACGGTGCCTAGAGTGAACCGGGCGCCCCAGCAAGGCGGGGAACAAGATCTTGCAGACTCTCGCCCCCCAATGCCCTTCCTTGGGCACCTCCCCAACCAAGGGGAAGCCACATCCCATGCAGCTGCTGTAGGACCACAGCCCCTGGGTCCCACTGGCCTGTCTGGGAGCAGAGAATATTCCCCAAGTCCTGCTGCCCCCCCACACCACCAAGCAGGGCGGGGGGGCAAAGACTGCAGTGGGAACAAGATCTTGCAGACTCTCGCCCCCCAATGCCCTTCCTTGGGCACCTCCCCAACCAAGGGGAAGCCACATCCCATGCAGCTGCTGTAGGACCACAGCCCCTGGGTCCCACTGGCCTGTCTGGGAGCAGAGAATATTCCCCAAGTCCTGCTGCCCCCCCACACCACCAAGCAGGGCGGGGGGGCAAAGACTGCAGTGGGGCCCCTCCCCTTTGGCTGGGGGAGCACGCGACGTCTCCTCCCGCCGCCGGGGGCACAGG